TTGAAAATGATAAAATAACTTTATTAAATATTGAGAAAATTATAAAATAATTATGATTAAAATATTGAAAATAATATATGTATAAATGTTAAATAATTATATTTTAAGCGCTTAATATTTTAGGGGTGTGTCAAATTATGTATTAATACATTTTTTTTTTATTTTAACAACAAAAACTTAAACCTTATCTTAATTTTCGTATCTTTTTTTCTGATCGATAAAATCTTAATTGCCTTTATGTATATATATATATATATATATCGACTATGTGTTTTTAGTCAAAACCATTTTAACCCATTAACAGGATGTGATTCTAGTCACAAAGTGTTTACTTTCAAAATCAAAATATTTTTGGTTCTCTTTTAAACTATATTTCTATAAATTTAACAAAATAAATAACATTTTTTTAAACGGTAGGTGTAAATTTTTTATAGATTTTAAAGTGTGTCCATTTCGATTCTGAAGTTCAAAATTAATTTATTCCAAACGATAATTCAATTACTCCTGAAGTTATAGATTTTCCAAATTCAAAATGGCGGATCCAATATGGAGAACGAAATTTTTTTTTTAATTCATTAACTTTGCCTAAATATTATTATTACATTCTAAAATTGAATTACCTAGTGAGAATTCATACAATAATTTAAATTAATGAAAATTTCTACTAATTTTTAGTAATTTTTTACTAACATATTTGGTTAGAGGATTTTTATAGGTGGCAAAAAAGCACCTAAAAGAAGTATAATTTTTTTTTTAATTACAAAAGTAAATTTTATCGATTTCACGTTTATAATAATCGTTACTGTGTATATTAAAAACGCATTTGAAGATTTTTTTTTTTAATTGGCTATATAGTTATTATGATGTAGATACATTAAAATATAGGTGACCAATTTCAAAGCTATAGAACTTAAACTACGAATGGCTTATCGATTTTCAATTTAGTTCACCTTTTAACACTTTTCTACGGTAAGCTCGACAGGATCTAAGGATATTGGATGTTGGAAAAGACTCGTCTTTTATAGGGTTTTACTTTTTTTTTTGTATCCTAAAAATGTCTATTTTTCATTAAATTCTCTCTATGAACTTTTTTCTTTTCTTTTTCTACTTTTATCAAAACTCCTTTCGGTTTATTAAGGGAAATACTAACATTAAAATTTTTTTTTTTTTAAAGATAATGAAAAATATTTTTTTCAATAAAAATAATATTTGTGTTTAATTAGGGTAAATGTCCCGATTACTGTGATGTACAACCCAAGACCGACTTTAATGATAAAATAATAAAAGTGTAAATGAAATAATATGATTTAATTCTTTTTGTTAAATCACTATTAGTGTCTATTAAAATAGAAACGATACTTTAAACTTGAAGAAATAACAAATATATTATTAAAAATATTAACTTTTTTAAAAATGGCATTTGCTGGTTTTACTGCAAGTTTGCATGAATTACTGCGAATGGTGTGCACCAATTACTGCAACGCTAAAAGTGTTGATTTAGAGGTTAGATTGACTGGATAGACCATAGTAATAGCAGCATGAGAAAAATATACGCATGCTCTAATTACTGTGATAGGTTCAATTGTAACTTGAATAAATAATTTGATAATAGTCAAAATATGCATCATTAGTGAATATAATATCAAATATCATTTGGAATAAGTTTTAAAGTCATTTTGTAACAGTTTTATGTTCTCAATTACTAAGTTTTACTAATTTTATAGAAATCGCAGTAATTGGCGCATCAGCAGTAATTCATACACTTACCCCAGAGTGTTTAAGAGAGAAATAAATAATTTTTCATAGATTTTGACAACTTTTAAAATATTGAAAACTATCTTAAAAGATAGTTTAAATTTTGTAAATACTTGTATACCAAATTGTAAAATTGCAACTTTAATTGTTTAAACGTTATTTTATCTATAAATATTATAAATTATTTATTTATTTAGAATATAACGGGACATGCCCTTTCGTACAAAAGTACTCCTAATAAATCAAAAAATTACAATACTTTATGTTACTAAATCTAGGTTGCCACTTCAGTGTTAATCTTTTAATTCAAATTAAAAATAATATTACGTAATGATGAAATTATTGTAAACATGTAAATTAAATAACTTTTAAACCTTAAAAAATTCCATTCTACCATTTAGTATAAAAAATCTTAAAAATTTAAATTGTTTTTTAAGATACTTTTAAATATTTTAAAAATTATCAAAATGTAGGAAAAATTGATTAAAAGTTAAAAAAAAATGTTTGAAGTTAAAATTAATCGAATCTTTAAAATTAACACTAAGACGTTAAAATTTATTAAATTTACCACTAATCCACACACCTTATTTTCCTTAGTTTAATGTATTTCTAATAAAAATAGTAGTATTTAAAAGTAATCTTGAAAAACAAACCAAGGTCGAGGTTGTCCGCTTCACGTCGAATGCCTCATATAATCTATTATTAGTTTTAAGTTAATGGTTTAGAATTTGTAGAATTCAAAAATTTAAAAATAAAAAATTGATACTTTGATTTTAATAACGGTTATTGTATATAGAATGAAATACTATATTTTATACACAATGTACTTTTTGTTTCATACGTTTATATTTTATATATATATATGAATGTTTTACATATTGTAGCAGCAAACATTTCGTCATATGGATATTTTTATCATGAAAGCACTATAGAATAGATTAAAAAAAAATTGGATTCTTTTTTTTTGAAATGTAAATAAGTAAATATATATATCAATTTTTGATTTCTGTTTGAATACAAGTTTTTTTTATTGTATACAGTTCATGAAATTGTTAAAAAATGCAATTACTGTGCAATATTTTACATATAAGTACCTATATTATACAAAAAGATATCGCCGTCAACGCCGCCGCCGCTGTTCCAAGACTCTGAATATAGCCGCAAGTCAAGAGAAGGGGGGTAGGAGAGAAGAGAGGGGGGACTTGCGGCTATATTCAGAGTCTTGAAACGATCTTAACCTTTAAATTTGGGGAGGGGAAAAGGTGGGAAAGAGAGGAGGGGGGATGGGGGCTAGCGCGCAGGGGGCGTAGCCCCCTAGTATATATATATATATATGTATTAGTTATTTCTTCATCAAACAATAAAGGGAACAATATACATATTTGATATAGAATACAATTTTTCAGGAAAATGAATTGATTTAAATAATGATTTAAATTAAAGAGTCTTTAATATTAATATTTTTTAAACTTTTTTTTTTTAAATTCATACACGGAGAAAAATGGAAAAACGAATAAACCCTAATAACACAAGATATCTTGGGATATATTGATAATATCCCGCAGATATCCTAGGGATGTCCTATGGATATCAAAAGGATCTCTTAAGGATATCCAAAAAATCGGCGGTTTGGATATCTCATGGATATCCACAGTATATCTTCTGGATATCTCTATAGACTTTCATAAATGTCCTCCAGATATCCCATAGATATCGTCAGGATATCCCACAGATATTTTCAGGATATTCTAAGTATATCTTCTGGATGTCAAGAAGATATTCTCAGGATACTGTTTTTAAAGTCATTATGAGACTACGAGTGAGAATATTCTGTGAATTAAATTTCATATAAATAAAATAAAATGCAACTTGTTTTTCGAGAAAGTTGTTTAATTTGAAAAATTATTAACTAATTTTTTTCTCATTCGTCATTCATTCCTTTATTCATATGCTTAATATTGTCAGAAAATAAATTGGCTTTAAACAATATAAATTCTTCCCCGCAAATAACGAATAACTATTAATATTAATTATACATTAAGTGCATGAGTTTATTTAAAAATTTTGAAAAATGCGTTTCAAATCTTCATTTAAAATAAATTAGAAGCTCATAAGATTTTTGTTTTTATTATATTATTATTCATTATATTAGCTTAACAATTTTAACCTTTAAAAATATATGTTTTGATATTAAATATCCCGTGAATATCCTAAGAATATCCCACGGACATCCTGAGGATATCCCATGGATATCCTGTGATATAATATCCAATAGATATTTTGTGGATGTCTAAGGGATATCCTGTGGATATCCTATGGATGTCCTGTTGATGTCCCACAGACCGAGGGTTTGGATATCCCAAGATATCCTGGGGACCATTCTAGAATATCGACCATTGATATGGATATCCTAGGGATATCGTTTTGTTATGAGGGAAGTAACTTTTACTACTTTAAAAGTAAAACCAAAACTGTCCGCAATTTTTGCGCATTTCTGTCAATTTTAACTCCAGTAATAGTAAAATTTACTATTTCCGGAATAATTTTTTACTATTTTAGGAATAAATTTTACTATTTCTGGAGTAAAAATTGCCAGAAATGCGCAGAAACTACGGACAGTTACGGTTTTACTTTTTTAAAGTAGTAAAAGTTACTTTATTCGTTTCTCCATTTTTCTCCGTGTATTTATTATATATTTTTTACATTTATTTTTGTATATTCTATGTTTTAAAATTCATCTTTTAATCTATATTGAAGGTATAATATAATTTCTATTAACATTTTATCAAATATTATTTTACCGTTTAAAAATAAAGAATTTTTTAAAACACGACTTTTTAAAGTATTTATTAAATAATCTTTATCTCAAAACTTTAAAAAATATGAATTGTTAGACAGATTTAATTTTTAATTAAAAAATGTTGTTTTCTTCGACAAAAATATAAAATTTCATGTTTCCCGATGTTTGTATTAATAAATTTATCGTTTAAGTATTTATTAAGACAAACTATACTTAAAAATAAACTTTTAAAAATCACAAAAAATTTGATTAAAATAAAAATCTATTTCCCTCAAAATTCTCAAACTTTGAAAATCAATTTTTTAAAAAATTTTAATTTTTAAAAATCATAGAAAATTTTGCATAAAAATATACCTTATAGAAGAATAAAATTTTATCTGTTAAAATTTAAAAGAGATATATTAATTTTTTTTTTCAATTTTAACAAATTTTTCACAAGTCAACTTCACGCCTGGCTATTATTATGTGACATATGGATAAAAACCTCAGATAGAAAACTTGGAAATATTTTTCAAGATTTATCATCATATATATAAAAATGTGTGTGCAGGCCAATGTCCGGTTTTATACGAGGCATTGCTCATGACAAGGAGTGTTAGTCATAGAAGTGAACCGAGGGATTTTCAAGTGTAAACGGAAAGGAAATAAAAAAGTGTGGTGCGTGTGCTAAATTGGAAAAAAAAGTTTGTGTGCTCTTCGTGTATAGCGAATTGTTTAGTTTTTCTTCTTTTTTTTTTTTTTAAATCAACTGGTAAATTCTATATATGTATATCTATATATACAGAATCGAAGTATTGCAGCAGTCGTTTATTAAACAAATCAACCCCAAACAGTATTGAATTTCAAAACTAGATATATATGCACTAGAGACACTCTGTGAGGATAAAAATTGAAAAAAATTTTTTTAGGTGAATGTTGTTTCGTCGGGCATTGGTGATAGTGATAGTAAAGTCGAGAAACGGTGGAGGTGCTCGATTTGAATTCATAAATGTGCGAGAGGAAGAGTCTACAATGGTGGCTTGGCTCCCGCAACAAGTTTTGCTGCTACTCATACTCGGTGAGTATAACGATGAGTGCATATAATTCTATATTTAGGAGCCGGCCGGGTTTCGCGTGGATTGGTCCTCCAATGTCCATTGGCTAGTGCCAGAATTCACTGTTATTTTCTTTTTTTCGTTTTTTTTTTTTTTTTTTGGACGATATTGCAAAATTACGCTATTCTCAGACAATTTTATCGTGCATTGAGGAAAATCGTTCCATTAAAAAAATACAGGCAGTAAAAAAAAGTTAAAACGTTGAAAACTGTTTTTTGAAGATTCAAAATTTTTTTATGTTTAACTTTTTTTTTTTGATAAAATGTTACTTTTTAGGTTAGTTTTATGATACTTTTACTTTTTTTTACTTTTTTATTAAAAATGTTGGTGAAAATAATTAATATTTTATTTAAATTAATATTTTTGAATAAAATATTAATTTTTTGATAAAATAATATTGATTTTGATTAAAAAATTACCGGAAATATTTAAGGAAAGGAAAAAAAGAGTTCTGCCACCTACCTTCTAAAAAGCGCGGCTATATTGATTTTATCGACAAATGTTCATAATAAACTTTAATACATTGAAATTAATAAAAACATTAAATTTTTATAATTATTTAACAATAATCATCATAAAAAACATAAAATCTTATTGTTTTAATCATTTATCACCAATTCTGGTGTTAAAATAACACTTTGTTTATCCTGTGTATATATTTCATAATTTTTAGGGTTCCGTACTCGGTTCGGAACCCTATTAATATCGGTTTTTTTGAAATCGTGTACCCCCCCCCCCTAGCGGCCACATAAATTTATCTGGAGGGCTGAAAATTAGTACACATATGTATTTTCGCGTGTAGATTACAGGAAAATTATAGCGAACTTGATTGGAATTGATTAACATAGCGTTGTCAAGGAAAAACCATGAATTTTTACGAAAAATGCCTAAAAATGACTATGTACCCCCCCCCCCCTAGCGGCCACATCTTTTGACATAAAGAGCTCAAATTTGACACACTTACGTATTTTTACGTGAAAATTACAGGAAAATTATAGCGAACTTGATTCGGATCAATTTACATAGCGTTGTCAAGGAAAAATAAAAAATTTCGAAAAAAATAATTTATTCTCCCTAGCGCACACAATATTCAACCAAGACAGATGATATTTAGTATACAAATGTATTTTTACGGGAAAAATACAGGGGAAAAAAAGCGGTCACGATTAGAGTTGATGATTAACTTTTTATCAAGTTTTTCAAGAAAAAATGACAATTTTAGGAAAAAAATGTATTTTTCCACCAAAAACGAACAAAATTTTATTTAAAGGAAATTAAATTTATATATTTTAACGTATTTTTACGTGTAGATTACAAAAAAAATATAGCGAGCATGATTGGAGTTGATTATCATAGCGTTGTCAAGGAAAAACCATGAGTTTTTACGAAAAATACCTAAAAATGAGTATGTACCCCCCCCCCCCCTAGCGGCCACATCTTTTGACATAAAGAGCTCAAATTTGACACACTTACGTATTTTTACGTGAAAATTACAGGAAAATTATAGCGAACTTGATTCGGATTAATTTACATAGCGTTGTCAAGGAAAAATCAAAAATTTCGAAAAAAATGATTTATTCTCCCTAGCGCACACAATATTCAATCCAGACTGTTCATACTTGCTGTAAAACTCAATTTTTGCGTGAAAAATACAGGGAAAAAATGTAAGCGCGATTGGAGTTGATGATCAATTTTTATCAAATTTTTGAAGAAAAATGATAAATTTCAGAAAAAAATGTATTTTTCCGCAAAAAACGAAAAAAGTTTTTCTACAGTGATTCAAATTTATATATTTTGACGTATTTTTACGTGTAGATTACAAAAAAAATATAGCGAGGATGATTGGAGTTGATTTTTCTGGAATTAATAAACAAATTTTATTTTTTAGATAACTTTCGATTTTTCCTTGACAAGCAGCTACTAGCCTTATATCAATATCTTAAGTTTTATCTCTTTTTGACTTAGAAAGATAAAATTTAATATTCAATATATTTTTAAAATGTAAATACAATAAAAATATTGCGAGTTGAAATAAAATTATGTTTCTTATATTTTTTTAGTAAAATATTTTTTAAAAAATAAAATCGGACAAGTGCGAGTTACACTCGCACTGAAATCGAGCGTTCCGTACTCGAAGCGAACTTATTTGGTATAAAAATAAATGTTTAAAAAATATTTGTTGTATGACAACTAATATAAGTGATACGAAGAGGAACAATTTTCTTGAATTTTACAAAATTGTTCCTTTTTGTATCACTTATATTAGTTGTCATATACAACACATATTTTTTAAACATTTGTTTTTATACCAAATAAGTTCGCTTCGAGTACGGAACCCTCGATTTCAGTGCGAGTGTAACTCGCACTTGTCCGATTTTTATTAAAAATGTTGGTGAAAATAATTAATATTTTATTTAAATTAATATTTTTGAATAAAATATTAATTTTTTGATAAAATAATATTGATTTTGATTAAAAAATTACCGGAAATATTTAAGGAAAGGAAAAAAAGAGTTCTCCCACACGGAGAAAAAAGATTTCTTTTATAAAGTAACTTTTACTACTTTCAGAGTAAAACTGGACCAACTCGAAGTTTCTGCGCATCTCTGGCAATTTTTACTCCAAAAATAGTAAAATTTACTCTAGAAATAGTAAAACTTACTACGGAAACAGTAAAATTTACTACAGAAATAATAAATTTTACTATTTTTGGAGTAAAAATTGCCAGAGATGCGCAGAAACTTCGAGTTGGTCCAGTTTTACTCTGAAAGTAGTAAAAATTACTTTTTCTTTTTCTCCGTGCACCTACATTCTAAAAAGCGCGGCTATATTGATTTTATCGACAAATGTTCATAATAAACTTTAATACATTGAAATTAATAAAAACATTAAATTTTTATAATTATTTAACAATAATCATCATAAAAAACATAAAATCTTATTGTTTTAATCATTTATCACCAATTCTGGTGTTAAAATAACACTTTGTTTATCCTGTGTATATATTTCATAATTTTTTATATATTTGAGACAAAATTTTAATCTCATCCTCATGTTCCACGAATGCTCCGCTAATTTCGTGGAGCATTCGCATCATACAATCCGCGAGGGTTTTCATAAGTTGAAAAATTATAATTATTGGTAAGTCCACGTCAGAAATATCAGAATCTGCAAGTGGTTCTTCGATTTAAGGGTGTAATACCGGTAGTCAAGTGTACACGTTTTTAACTAGTAAATTTCCCCTCGGTAAAAAACAAAATTTCTTTTAGATTTTATTTCAATTTCGACCTCTGTTTTTAATTTTTTAATAATATTCCTTTTTTATTTTATTTTTAATTTAAAAAAAAATTCATCCTGGAGACTTTTTTAGATCTCGTGATATCGTCCTTTAAGTATTATAAGTCTTCATCAATTTGAAAACCGCAGGACTTGCTTCTATCATTACTTTCATTTGTTTGATGAAATTTTTTATGGTTATGAATAACTATTTGTTTTAGAATCCTCTAAAGGAAAGCGCTAAAAACTTCAGCTATAATTTCAGGTTGCATTGTTAAGGTTTAATTACAATTTATTTTAAATTATAAATATTACAAAAAATAAAAACTTTGCTTCAAATCTATTAATAAAATATTGATTTGCTTGAATTTTCACTTGTTTTAGTCAAGTAATTTAAAAATAAAAACATTATTACGCGAAAGTTTCTAGTTTGTAACAATAATATTATAAAACAAATGAAAGTAGAAACACAAATCTGGATCCTAGTTTTCTTGAGATATGGATATTTAAAGAACGATATCGCGAGATCTAAAAAAGTCTCCAGGATGAACTTTTTTTAAATTAAAGATAAAATAAAAAAGGAATATTATTAAAAAATTAAAAATTAAAAAAAAGAGGTCGAAATTGAAAAAAAATCTAAAAGAAATTTTGTTTTTTACTTTTTTCTATTTAAATAACAAAATTTTATTTTTATTTTAAAATTTTCTGAAAATACGTAATTTTCTGAAAAAAATCGTTTTTGATTCATCAAAATCGGTTGAAAATTGACCGAGATATAAAGGAAAGAAAAAAATGAAGTATCAAAATTAAAAGTTATATAACTCCTACAATTTTAGATATTTTAAAAATTCCTTTTACTTACACATTGCTCTTATATAAAGCTATAATTTTACCAAGTATCATTAAAATCGAAGAACCACTTGCAGATTCTGATATTTCTGACGTGGACTTACCCTTATAATAATTAATTTGCTTTTTCACTCAAAAATAGAAAAATATAGGATTGAACTCTAAGTTTTGATTTGTCTATTCCATTTTCTTTTCAACACTATCATAATATAAAAATTCGAACCTGAATTAATTTATAATAATTTCAGGACAGGAATTATTTTTACTTTACATAAAAAATGAAATATTTTAACATCTTTTAAAATATGATAAAATATTTATTTAAGATGAAGCGTAGAAAAATAATTTATTAAAATTAATAAATAATTAATTAATAATAATTGTAATTAAAAGTTTAATTAATTAAGTTTAATTTTCAATTTAATTTAATTTAATTAATTAAATAATTTATTCAATAATTATTATTAATTCATTTTAGAGTTCTAAAAAATATCTTTTTTTACACATGGCCGCGTAAATGATATTTATATTTTCTTTGCTTTCTAAACTCTTGTTTATTGGTTGAGAGAAATATATTAAATCCTGTATATTCGATACTGTTAGTAATGGAAAAATTTTTATTTTTTATTTTAATGTTTTGCAAATAGCTTTAATTCTTGCGAAAATATTGAATATAGAAGTGAATGTCGTGAATATTATAGCAGATGTAAAATAAGTATTTAAAATATAGGTCAAGTGAAAATTATTTTTAGTTTATAATATATCATATGAAAAGTGAATGAAAATTTTAACAGAAAATTTACGAACAATATATATTGTTCTTCAAGAAGATGGTATA